AAAAAAAAAAAAAAAGATCAAATGAAGTGTCTAATTAAATCAGCAGCTTTAAGTTCAGTGACAAGAGTGATTGATGAATGAGCCTCTAAAATATATTAACATGTCATCATGACATCATCATGACATCATTAAATTAAGCATTACTACGCTATGTGACGTCATGATGATTTCACTCTGTCCGTACAATCGTCACTAATTGTTCAAGTTTTCATTTTAAGATCAATATGATTCATTGTAATCTCAGAAAAAGTGTCTGTTACACCAAAGTTTTATTGAAGTTGACCTTTGACCAACTCTAAAAGTTAATCGTCCGGAGATACGCTCTCAAGTAACATCGTGGCTCAGTTTGGTAAAAGTCCGTCCATGAGTTTTTGAGTTATTTGGTACATACACATACACACACACACACACACACACACATTCTTGATTCTTAAAACCTCTGTGATGAAAATATTACCGCTGCTGATTTCTTCTTCTGTGTTTTGCCCCCGCGTGCAGCCATCATGATGAACGGCGGCAACAGTCTGAAGCTCCCTGGGCTGAACTGGCAGAACGGGAACAACATGGAAACCGCGGGCTTCTCCGAGGGCGACCTGCTGCTGCAGGTACGACGCAGGAAACAGTTAACGTCTGGGGGGGGGCGACTGTCATTTCAACCCGACTGTAAATGAGCTAAAAGTGCATTATGCATTTATTAAAATCCCACACAAAGGTCAGAGTGAGCAAAGAGCACAAACTCACTTATCACAGGAGCAGAAAACCAGGAGTAATGAATTAAAACCATGGAACTCTGGTGTTTTTATTAATATTAAACACCACGAGGCGAACAGGTGCAGCTCCGCTCAGTCAGGCTTTGTTTATGTGTGCGTTTGCCATTTAGTGTATGAGAGTTAATCCATGTGGATCGGTGGAGGACGACGTTGTGACAGGTGACGCTGCTCGTCTCGCTGCCTGTTGTCAAAACTCAGCCATGCTTCACGGCTTTCAACGCAACCGGTGCTCGTCCAGTTCCCCGCTTCTTGTTTCCCGGGGCTCATCTGTCACTTCCAGCTTCGAACTTTGACCTTTGTGATGATCGCAGCAGGAGGTGAAGGACCTGAAGCGCAAGCTGTTGATTTAGACGACTAGCTCTCATTTAAACTGACTCTGAATCTGTATTTATCCTGAAAACGAATCCATACCTTTACGTGACTGCGTAAAAGTTTGATTGGTAAAAATGAATTTCGCGGTTTCGGCTCTATGAATTAATGGTCACATGATCCGAGTGTCACCACACAATAAATCATCCTCGCAACATTCTCACCCACAAATAAAGTCGAACCTCTGATGTTCAATCAATAACTAATTCAGCTGCGTGCGTCATAATGAGGTTGCTCTCTTTATATTTGAGGTGGTGAGGGATTATATATGGAACATGCGTGTGTGAGTTGAATACCTGACATGTGTTTAACTTGTTTCCTGTGCAGGCGTTGAACGGGTTTGTGATTGTGGTCACGTCCGAGGGTTTGGTGTTTTATACCTCTCCCACAATCAAGGAATACCTGGGCTTCCACCAGGTGAGCTGCCGGCCTCCTCAACACGCATCAGTTTTCTTCTAGCGTCAAATACTCAACATGAACAGCATTGGAATATTTCACATCGTTGTTGTGTTGCTATAATCTCCCTTTATTGAGTCATCAGCGAGAAGTGTGAAGCTTTCATCTGAAGCTGGAGCCTGAAGTGTTAAACTCCTCACATCTATAAATCACTCGCGATGTCGATAAAGTTTTGCCTTCCCTCCTCCGCCAACAGTCGGACGTGGTTCACCAGAGCGTCTTTGATCTCATCCACACTGACGACAGAGACATGTTCAGGCAGCAGCTGCACTTCGCCCTGAACCCTCCGCCGATCAGCGAGGCAGAGAACGGTGAGTGTGACGAAGTCACAGGGTCGAGTCCAGGCTGCGCATCTCTGTGTGAAGGAGACGTCAGTCAGAGGTTCCTGGTTGTGAAGTGTAACGTCTCCAATCTTCTCATCTTCTTCAACGAGCCGCCAGCTCATCGAATCTCTTCCGTTCAAACACTGCCATCTACTGGATACCTGTCGGAACACACGAGGCCTGCTGTCAGAAATCTGGGCCTGAGCTTTAAACCACAAAACCTGTACAGACGTGTTTTCATCAACTGAGAAATCATTTTACATTCTTTTACCTCATCACACATTAATAACTGCTAAAGCCTTTTTGCATGTTTAAATTGCAAAACTATTGACCGACTACAAACTGTTCAGAACTCACGAGTTCTAACAACAGGTTTGAACACATCACCACAGTTTTAGCCTCTGTACACCGACTCCCAGTACGTTTGAGAAATGATTTTAAGATACTTGTACTCACCACCACATGAACCGACGACATCACATCTCTTTTCCCCTCGAACCTTCAGATCCATCAAAACACATTTTTATCCTATTTGATTTTTATCTTACTGTCTTTTCCTCTGTGTTTTGTCTGATTGCTTTGATAAGAGCTGTATGAGTAAAGATTAATATTATTATCATCGTCTCTGTTCTCAGGCTTGCAGAGTTTTGGTAACGCAGAGAGGTACAGTCCCGAGCACCTTCCTCCAGAGAACTCGTCCATCCTGGAGCGGAGCTTTGTGTGTCGCTTCCGCTGCCTCCTGGACAACTCGTCCGGTTTTCTGGTAAATACAATATTCATCTGAAACTGACAGAAGTACCCAATAACGGTGCGCGGTGGGGGGGGGGGGTTAATGGTGGTCAGTTCTTCTGAAACGTCAAAGGCCAGTTCAGCAAAATAAACCACGTTTAGCTCTTTCCCCACCTCACACTCATCCTCTCCTCTGAACCAGGCGTTGAAGTTCCAGGGGCGTCTCAAGTTCCTCCACGGTCAGAGTGTTGTGAGGGACAACAGGAAGAGCGACCCCCCTCAGCTGGCTCTGTTCACCATCGCCATGCCTGTTCAGGCTCCGTCCATCGTGGAGATCAGAGCCAAGATGCTTCTGTTTCAAACCAAACACAAGCTGGACTTCACACCGACGGGCATCGACAGCAGGTGCTGCTGATTCATCCACTCTTTTTAAGTTTTCTTTCTCATGGGAGGTGATTGTGTAGCTTTGAGATCATTTCAACACATCGGGCAGTTTCTCAGGTTTTATTCCCATCATCTGGACTGTTGGCACATTTCTTTTTTATAATGCAGCAGAACAAACCTCATGTTTTCTGTTTTTTCTCCAGGGGGAAGATTATTCTGGGTTACTCAGAGACTGAACTGTGTATGAAAGGCTCCGGCTACCAATTCATCCACGCAGCTGACATGATGCACTGCGCTGACAACCACATGCGCAGTATGTTGGCAGTTTCAGCTTTGATAAGGAGACATATTCACTGAATAACACGGAGGATTTGATGCTGTTGTGAACGTGTCTGTGCAGAAAACCTCCTGCTGTGTTGAAAGACAAACTCTGGGTTAAGTCCTTATCCAACTCACCGGATTTTACCCGGAGGTGATGTCTGAAAACACTAGAGGATAGAAAAACTGGAAAAACACCCAACATGTCTCGTTTGTTTGTTTTAAATGCAAGAATCAGGAATTAAGGGTGAAAAGTAATTTTTCTGGTTTCTAGTGTCATTAGAGACGTTTTCCAAAAAATGATTCTGGTTCTAATTGGATGCACAATTACAAAAAGGTCTTATGTTGTTATTTAACGTAAAAATGTACAATAATAATAAGTATGAACTAGTTATACTGTACTGTGACCAAAACAACCAGGTCCAGTTTGTTTGTGGTTACTCGTAGAACTTATATTAAAGCAAAGAGAATGTTCACTATTATTATTTCCTGCTTTCACGTTGTTAGTCTCTCATCGTGTGTCGTTTCCGTCGCAGTTATCAAAACAGGAGAGAGCGGCCTCACAGTCTTCAGGCTCCTCAGTAAGTCGAACAGCTGGGTGTGGGTGAAGTCCAACGCCAAGCTGATCTACAAAGGAGGACGACCGGAATTCATCATCGCATATCAGAAAGCTATACTGTGAGTGTTTTACATTTCTAGACCCGTTAGACCTGGTGTTAACATCCGTCCTGAGGTGGTGTTCACTCTCAGAGGTGGTCTCGGACGCACGTGGTCTTTAGGCTGCATGATCGCAAATGTGTCCTGGGGCCACATCGAAGGAACTGATGCTACAGCTTCATAATAAACACAAAATATGTTTCCTCGTCTCACATTAGTCAAATCTAGAGCCTGATTTATTTATCGTGATGAAAATGATTTGAAATGAGACGGATCTGGATCGATGTTTAATTTAACCAATATGAAAACTTTTATTTTACGGAATAAATGATGCAGAAACAATCAACATTTACGTTAGTTATAATAAAGTTTACAGTTAAAAAAGTTCTCCATATATCGGTTTATATATTCTGTCAGTACAGAATATAAACCGACTCAGCTGCGGTAAACACAAAATGATTTGCTCTTCCTGAAGAGAACTGAGCTGCGTGTTTATTTCCGTATAGAGCAGAGAAGTGAGATTCAATCACGAGTCACAGGAACCTGCGAACCTCAAGCTGTCCACTTGTTTTCAGATCTCAGGACAGATCTTAATACAAAGTCTTATAACTGTGAACTGAAACCTGCTTCGGTTTCTTTAACGTGACCTTTGGACTCTTCCAGCAACACCGAGGGTGAGGAGTATCTGCGTCAGAGGAGCCTGCAGCTTCCCTTCACGCTCACCACAGGAGAGGCCGTCCTCTACAACACCGGCCCCACCGTGGACATCGGGCTCTTCCAGTTCAACAAAATGTTCAACAGCACGGACGTAAACAAGGACACGCCCCCCCGCTCTCTGCTGGACTGCTTCCTGAGACAGGATGAAACGGCGTACACGCAGACGGTGGATCCGCCCACACCTGTGGACCAGGTGTTCAAAGACAGCAGCGCTCTGGTCAGCATCCCCAGTGACGCGTGGCAGGACAACAGGGCCGTGGCCGCCACAGGCGACCCCGCCGCCGTGAAAGTAGAGGCCAAGCAGTCTGTGATGGCTGTGATCGACAACTTGGCGAAACTGGCTCAAGAGGGCGACTTCAGCGCGGCGCTGCAGAATCTGGAGGTGGACAACTCTGAGCTGATCGAGTGGGAAAACGCGCTCAAGAGATTGGGTCAGGAGGACGATCATCAGAACAACGTGAGCTCGGAGCTGGACAGCGTCCTCACGAATGACATATTCGACTACATCGACAGGGTTTTGTTCCAGGAGAAGGGAGGCCAAGTGCTGGACGCCAGACGTCCCAGCAGCCTCTGCAGTAATCCACAGGAGCCCTTCGGTGACGCTGCTCTGTTCTCGGCCACTCAGCTCTGTGAGCCACCGTTGTTTGATACTCAGAGTCCTGATCGTACCTTCTCTCCAAAGAACGGACTCTACGCTCACCAGCAGGATCTAGGACAGAGCTTATCCGACAGAACCCAGAAGGTCTCGCACCAAGGTCCCTTCGTCGCTGCAGCCGACACCAACCTGCCGCCTCTTCAACAGCTGCAGCTCCAGGACATTTTCAGCCCGTCGATAGAGCTCCCGGAGCTCGTTGTCCCCGACGTCCCGGCCCCATTCCAGGTGCCCGTCGGCCACATGGGAGGGGAACAGAGGATCCCTGCTCAGACGCAGTCCGGCCAGTTCCTGCCGAACTATCTGCTGGCCCCTGGGATGGGGAATGGACACATGCTGCAGAACTCTGTTCATCAACCAAAGAACCTAGCACCGGGCGCGATGGACATTTTACCACCACTGATTCCCTGCAATGACTTAAGTTCCTCTGCCGCACAGAGCGTTCCCATTCCCTTCGCTGCAGCTTGTCTTCAGGGAGGTCCCCCCTTTGACACGCACAAGGTTCAGCCGTGGCCACAGAGTCAGCAGCAGAAACTGCCTCAGTCTGGCGTCGCGCAGAACGGACCCGAGCTGACGCCGGCCTGTCACGGCCAAACTCCCGAAAGCCAAACGGTCCCGCACAGTGGTCTGTGGCCGAGGCGAGTTACCGGACTGAACCACGCTCTGCAGGGCGGGCTGGCGTGTGGACAGGCCGCTTCTCACAGCAGCTGCATGTTTGAGCAGCACTTTTCCTCCAGTCCAGCAGTGGGCGACGTGCAGACGGGAGCGACGCTGCAGCCGAGTCCTCTTCAGGGTTCCTGCTGCTTCCAGTGGAGCCGCAGCGAACCGGGAGCGTCCACCGTCAACCAGGAGAACGTCATGTCAGAGCACATTCAGCACTACCAGGAAAACCACAGGCAGACACAGGTAAACGTGTGTGTGTGTGTGTGTGTGTTCATTATTAAATATCACTACATTAAAAAAATAAAGGAATGAAACGTGTGATAGATTATTATTGTCAGGATGTAATAAAACATCTTATGATTTTTATTTTCTGCAGAATGTCTTTGTAAATTGATTTATCAGATAATGTTTAAAGATATAAAATATATAACCTGAAATATCTTTGACTCGTGAAATGTGTGTATTTACGTCTCCTCCTCAGGATGAACAACTCTCGGCTGAAGTCAATGGGATCTTTGTGGCTCCTCCTCACGACGTAGCCATGTACTTGGCGTAGTGGGAGGACGACCCGGCGCCTGAATCAGAGCTTTCCATGTTTACCCTCCTGTTATATGTTTTATATCACTGTGTATTATATCGACTGTGTCCGCGCTCATGTTTGTCAGTTTCTAGTGAAGATACACTTTAAAAAAAAATAACAACGAGAATATTAAGAATAATAATGAAGTATGAAGCCGAGAGTGCCTGAGCCAGGACGGAGCTGCAGCCAGTTAGTGAGCTCGGTCCGGGGAAATCTAAAAAGCCAAAGAAACATGTTTGAACAAGGGAAACAACTGAACCAGATTTAAATACATGAAAAGCTGAATGTGATTTTATACATATAAATATATATATGTAATCACATTCAAAATTTTTCTAAAGAAAGTGATAAGTACCTGAAAACACAGCTGTGCCACCATCTATCATTCATAATCTGTACATTTTTAATTAAATGCCGGAAATAGCAGATGTTTAAAGTGTTTAAATACAAAGTTGGAATTCTCTGTATTTTCTATGTGCTTCACTAGAAGAGCCGATAACTCGTGTTGATCTGAGTTCGGTGTAAATGTGCTCGGATCTCAACATTTCTTCAAACGAGCAGAGAAAACGAAACATCACGATTAAGAAAACTGACATCGCTCGTGTTCCGTCTGATTGGCGTCGGGGATGAGATGGTTTTGATTTGCTGCATCATTTCCAGGTCGGTCGAGGATTTAATAAAACGGAAGATAAGCACAGCTGAGGGAGATTCATCCAAACGCTCTGATGCTAATTAACGACGAAGTTGTCGTTGGTCGGAAGTTATCGAGCGAGTCGCGGAAAAGTCGGTTGTCAGTCAGTGCATGTGTTTTGAGGGCGGAGCTTCGAGGGGAGGGCCAATGGGAGAGGGTGAGATGCGTCGTTGTATATTTTGACAGTGTCGCCTGCTCTTCGTTGCTTTTCCAGGATTAGATCTCTGCTTTAATTCCTGAAAAATCAAAACACATATCCTGCATCCACCTCCTCGATCTAAAAATGGCTCTGACAGGATTAAAAGAACCTTTTCTCTGAGTTTCAATAGATTCAGCTCAGTAGTTTTTGTGTAATTCTGCTAACAGACAGAAAAAAACATGTATTTGCAGCCGCTCTCAACCAAAAACTCACAAATTTCTCTTCCATCTTCACATTTCGAGATCTCGTCTCCATATTTTCCACCTCCCACGCTGACCCTGTGTCTGTTGTTTTGCCTTCTTGCCTCAGAGGCAGCTCAGAAATAATCATTTCTTTATCTTCATATTCACCGCACTGCAAACATGGCAGCTCTACCACTTACGTATATGCCGCTGCATTGTGGGAAATCACTCTCACCCGCCATTAAGATTCCGTGTTGTCTGAGGACGCTGGATGAATCGTCTTGGATGTCGGACTTTGATACGGACTCGCCCCCTCGGATTAAAAAACAAACCTGGAGCCAAAAGTTTCCTTCACGGTTGGACTCATGTTTTTAAACTTGTGCCTTGACAGTCGGATATTTCTCTTCATTTGTACAACAACTGTTCAGTTTAACGTGACACACGTTTATTTAGCCAAGTAGTTGTAGTATCTGTATCATAATACAATATGTATTTTAAACACGTAACAACCTTTTGTCTGCTGATGAATGCTTTTTCATAAATGTTTATGATTCAAACTGTGTTTGACTCTTTTTCTTATGAAGTCAAAGTTCAAGATCAGAGGAAGCTTTAGTGACCAAGTATTCTTGTTATTATTACTAATACGTATTTAAAACAATCAACCACGTTAAGTGTCAGTTAGCACTTTACTACGTTTGGTCCGGACGCAACAGAATATTTGTAAAAGAAAATATAATTGCTGTTAACTGTATGTAAGATGACGGCTTTGATGATAATCTTTTTTTTTTTTAAAGCCAAACATTCCTTTGTTCCAGTTTCTCAGTTATAATTTATCTTTTGTGATTATTATTGAATTTAGGTCACATGAGAATTTATTAGAGAAAATATTCAGCAGATGAATCAATAATGGAAAAAACGTGAATAAGGGCAGTGACACAATTCATTATTTATTATGTGCTGAATTTAAAATGCTGAATGATCACTCTGTGTCCACCAGAGGGAGCCCTCACTGACTCACACATCATCACAGTTTAATCACTGAAAATGTATTTTTAAAATATTATTTAATCAATCAGTGAAATATTAGTTTTATTCTTTTTCAGCAGATCACAGAAACACAAACGTGACTGTCAGCTGAGTTTACTCATTTTAAAAAGGATTTTATCCAGTTTGGATTTAGAAAAATCTTCCCAGTTCGATCCCAGGACCTTGTTGTTGTTGCTGTGAGGTGACAGTGCTGACCTCTGCTCCACCGCGCCGCCCACATTTATTTATTGGCCTCTGAAGATGTTATCAACTCAGTGTTACAGGAGCTGTTCCAGAGTGAAGCAGTCATTTCAGCTGAGAGATGACAGCTTCTTCCAATGTTTGATCAATCAGCCAGTTGAATTTAATCTGTAATATACGGATGTGGACCACTTCAGGCCATGATGCGGCTCCTCCGGCCCACTAGTCGGCCTGAAGTGGTCCACATGTGGTGCCGTGCTCTGGACGGGGTGTAATCTGGGTGTGAACCTGAAGTGGTCCCATGCTGAAGGATGAGTCTGACCCTAATGACATGTGGTAGAACTGTGGCTCACTTGTGGCCCAGAAAACAGGAGCCGACGTCCCGGGAGCCGGATGTGTGATTTGTGATATGTGGGTCAAATATGGCCCAAAACTAGTTTTCCTCTATATTTAATGTTTAGTCAATTGTTAGAATTTAAATTTTTCAAGTTACTGTGTTTTTATATATATTTTATAAGATGTATATGTTTCATGCTCGAGAGATTATTTATGAAACTAAACTCTGCAGAGAGTAAAAGTTTTATCATTTGATTTAGAAAATCTTCATCTGCTCTTTATTTAAATGAAATGACCTGTTGTTGTTTCATCATTCACTGGAAAAATCCAACTAATTAATGTTCCGACGTCCACATTTATTACATTATACTGTTTTTTGTCCCAGAGTAGTTTTGTCCACAATTTAAATGATCACTCACGGAACCAGAACTTTCATAAATATTATTAAGAGTTTGTTTTCTCCACTTCAAGCTCACGTCCTGGACTCTGTGCACATCTGGCTCTGTGATTGGATTCACCAGCTTTCTATTTTCCTGTCATTTCAAATTTCAGATTGTTTTAATGCAGCAGAGGAAAACACAGTTTACCAAATGAACAACAGACGTAAAAAGGTCTGTTGTTGGGAAGTTGGGGATGTTTCTCGTTTCTGAAGAAAACTCAACCTGCAACTGTTGCATGTTTCTTCATTAGAGCTCATCTGTCTCTGAGTTGTGCAGTTTGAGTCCAGTCATTCTTTGACATGCAGCCTGTCTCCATCCACACATTCTCGGTGTGTTGTCCTCAGCTGCCCGCACGCTCCCCCCGCAGGACGACCTTGACCAGGAGACGGACTCGACCGCACCGCAGCTCTCTGTTCTCTCTGAGCATGAAAAACACATTTACAGTCGCGGTGGCGTCCGTCCCTCTGGAGACCAGAGTGTCCGAACAAACACAAACCCCTTCTTGTTCTCGGCACTCGGCTCCTGGAGGCAAGAAGAACAAGTGCCTGCAGACAAACATGAGCTCGAAGTGGTCGAGGCTGGAGACGAGTCAGAGTCCACAGGAAGATGAAGCAGGACGAGGAATATCCTTTCAACAAAATGTCAACTTTGCACTAAATACATGTGAAATCTGACAACTGGAAAATTCATGTTCCCCAGAGGATCGGCCATTTCAAGCATAGACAACTGGTGGTTAAAGCTACAGTTACACATCTTCATCATCTTGATGAAAAGGACGAAGACTTTTCAAATGAAACAGGAAAATCAGAGTCGGTGGACGCAGCTCGTCAGATCGTTGGCCTAGTTTTCTTCCCACGTGAGTTGTGTGTGTGTGTGGGGGGGGGTCGGTCTCCAGCAGCCTCGGGGGTCTGATCTGGTCACATGACACGATGTTTACCAATAAGCATCATCTCGTCTTATCTTATTTAGAGTTACTGTTCTACATTAAAAACTCAACCGTGTTTCTCACCATCCGAACACAACCTGCACGTTCTCATGGTTTCAACCAAAATTCTATTTGTTAAAACAGAGAAAAGATGAAAATCTGACTTGATAGAAAATGTTGATTCATTCGTCTGAGTCATTGTCAGTCAGAGGTCAGAGGTCGAACCTCTGAGCTGTGAACACGCAAATACAACATCTGTGATAGAACCTGAAGCATCGGATATTATGGATCCATAAATATAACACAAATATACTTTCATCACTTTTGTTGGATTTTTGATCAATAAAATAAAAAAAAAGTTCTTTAAGAAAAATGTCAGAACTGCTCCTTTTCTCGGGGGCGTGTCTATGTTTGACTGACAGCAGCTGAATCCAGGAAGTATCAGACACAGGCCTGAGACAGGATGTTGTGTTGATGGTGAAATGAAGCCGACTTTAAAACACACAATCAACACACAATTAACACACAACCAACACAACCAACACACAATCAACACACAATCAACACAATCAACACACAATTAACACAACCAACACACACTCCTCTGACAGAAGCTGGTGTGACGTCTGCAGGTGAGTCAGTCTAAGAACTAACTAAGAATGAATTCAAACACATGATGATCATTACATCTCATAGTCACAGTTTCCCTGGGGATCATTAAAGTATTTATTTATCTAAATTAGAAATTAAAAAATCTAAAATCTTTATTTCAGCTTCATCTCAGAACGAAGATTAAGATTAATGAAACTAATGTGAGTAA